ACAGTTAAATATATTTGTGAACTATTTTCTATTTCTTCTAATTAATATTTAATATTAATTCTTTCTCGAATTAATAATAAAGGGTATAACTCTAAGCATGGAAAATACATATTACCACAATTATTGCCAACAATTGAACAACAAAAATCATCAAAATCAAAAATCAAATTACTTGTCATATTCTATGGTTCAAACGATGCAGCAATTCCACCGTCACCTCAACACGTGCCACTTGAGGATTATAAAGCGAATTTAAAAGAAATGGTCAATCTAATCAAGTCTCCATCATCCAATTATCACTCTCCTACTACTAAAATCGTGTTAATCACTCCAGCAGCTTTAGAGGATGAAGTATGGAATAGTGAAGATGATCGGGGTGAAAGAACAGATGAAATTATGAAATTGTATGCTGATGCTTGTGTTGATGTGGCAAATGAAGCAAATGTGCCTGTTGTAAATATTTGGCAATTGATTCATGATAAACTCGGAAAGAAAAAGGTTGTTAGTAATAGTAATAATAGTGGCGGTGATGATGGTGAAATTTTTACTTTAAAAGATTTTCTTTATGATGGCTTACATTTTGCGGGTCATGGTTGTGATGTAAGTTTCTATTTTTAAGTAAAAATTAATTTATATATTAATTTATTTAACTGATATATTTTTATATAATTTTTATTTCCCACTTCCAATTAAAGACGTTATTTGATGGATTGATGAAAGTTATTCGTGAAAATTATCCAGAATTAGATCCAGATAATATTCCACTGATCTTACCAGCATGGGATGAAATGGATCCTAATAAAAGTCTCGAGGATTTTTTAAAATTTCCTTGATAAAATCACTTATAATGTTGCTGAACGAATAGAGTTGCTTCTTGAAATAATTAAATAAAATAATTTGCCCATGAAATTCTATAAAAGCAATTGATTTATTTTTTAACAATTATTAATAAAGGCGTGAAAAAAATTCTAATTTTGGAATAGAACATTTTTTGTCCGATATAAATTTGAAAAATCTTATTTATTTTTGTCAAGGAAATCTTCTACAGTCCGTTTTATAACTATGCAAATATGCTGAAAATGAAAGCAAGATTTTCTGCACATGTCCAATGTATTTTTTTCCCTCTATATAATTTTTGTAAAGTCAGGAACTAATTAAAAAAATAGTCGCAATTAGATTTTTGTTTCGAATTAATATTTACAGCAGTAATTGTATTTCAATAAACGTATTATTAGAGTGAACAGGTTTGATTTTACGTGACTTATATTAATTTCCTTTTGTATTTAAATATTAAAAGTATTAGAAACGATAATGATAATGATATAGAGTAAACAATTTTAGTATCTAATTTAATAAATTTGAATGATTTTTTCAAACCCGTGTAATATTTGAAATTGATTTGAAATTTGAAAGGTTTGGTGGATGTAGAAGTAGTGTTTGTATTCATTTGGAATATCTGAATATCCGATGAACTCTAATATTAAAATTTTAATCCGTAATCCATCAGTCTTTTAAAAATAAAAAAGCCATCCGTCAATCCGTATATGACCGGATTATTTTACAGATATCTGGATTGGTCATCCACAGATCGCATCACTAGTCCAAAGAGGGGGGGGATCTGACTGCAATAAAATATTCTCTTTACATAATGGATAATAACAACTTCATTTTCATTCATCATCAACAAATCCTTAATGCCAGCTAAAAACAACAACAACACATTAGAGAGCAAGAAAGACAATAACAATCCAGATCACAATTTATCATCATTGTATTATCATATTAATTACTTTGTTCATGAGTATATAGACAATCAATTGTTGATTTTACATGTATATAGTTTTTCTTATAAACATTTGCGAATTTTTTATTCGAATGTCACCGGAATACGAACTTGACCTTAATTCGCTGGATCAATAACCCCGAAAATCCGGAGTAATATTATTATTTATTTGTATTTATTTCTTTTTAGTTATCTATTATTTATTTTTAGTTATTTATTTATCTATTATTTATTTTTAAATTTATTATACAGTGAACCCTCCATAAGTGCACCCTCTATAAATGCATCCCTCCATAAATGCACGCTATGTCTCATTCCCAACCTCGGGAATTAGAAATAAATGCACACCCTCTATATTACGGTCTTCCCCCATCCCCCGTTCATATAAAACCACCCTCTCTAAATGCACGCCCGTGACTTTCACGTGATTTATTTGCTAAATAAATTCGTGTTGCATTAATTAATTCAAACGTTATCTATATCTGTTTATCATCTTTGTTACCTCTTTTTTAATATTAGTAATGGAAAATAAAGGATTAAGTAAGCTACTTTTGCTGATAAAGGATTAAATGAATGTTTGTTAATTCTTTCTTTTTAATTGACAAAGAGTTTATTAGAATAATAATGATAAAATCACAAATGGAGAAATTATATATACGCGAAATTAAAAAATTAGAGGATAAAGGATCACGAATTTTTTTTAAAAATTGATGTTTAATAAAAGTAACCAAAAATAAAATAAGAAAATTCTAAAGAACAATTAGGGCAAGTTAATGCCTTTGAGTGATACATTAATTTGAAAAAAAAATTCAATGAAGCAGACCACAATGAAACAATTTTTTTAGTCAACAATAATATATTTAATATGTAATATATATTAATAATTATTTTTATTAGTATCACGTGCAACCAATGAAATTCTTCCCCTCTATAAATGCATCCCTCCATAAATGCACGCTCTCATCCATTATTTAGTATTATAATTAGTAGAAATTATCCCAGTCTGGAATACATATAATTCGACATGTATTAGTACATAATGAACGAGAATTCGCTGTAATCGAAGAATAACTTTGTAACAAATTAACTTAATAATAAGTTAATAATTAGTTTCGACTAAATCATTTTTTATCAAATAATAATAATAGCAATTCGGCGATCTACATCGATCATTACATTCCCAAATTTGAAAAAGAACCCTATTTCCAATTTAGTTAATAATTTAATTTGTACGCTCAATATCAGCACTTATATTCGAATAAAGAGGAGAATATATATACGATTTCATTACATATAATAATATTACATTATAATAATATTACATATAATAATATTACATATAATAATAGTAATAATAATAATAAATGGCCTCAAAAAACTCGAGAAGTAATGCTTTTCATGCAAGTTTCCTTGATGGTTTAAGAGGTTTAGCTGCACTTTCAGTAGTTTATTCACATTCACAAAATCTATTCAAACAAACACTTCCTTATTATACATATAATATGATTGGTTTTGATGGCGTTCGATGTTTTTTTGTATTGTCAGCTTTTTTATTAACGTTTCGTGGAATGTTAGAATGGGAAGCATACCTTGAAAAAAGAAATATTCCAAAAGAAGAAGATGCGGTAAAAAAACAATTTGGTAACCTTGAGTATCAAAATGTTAGAAATAATGACAATGAAGAGAATGAAGAGAGTACTGGATCAAATTCATCAATTCCATTATTAGATGATGATGATGAGAGTGGTAATAATAAGGTAGATATTTTTTTTAATATAAATAATGATGGTAGTGATAATAATTGTATATTATAATTATTAGTTGATTAATTAATCAATTAAATGTTTAGGAATACCATGAAACAATTATAGGACTAAATTCAAAAACAACGAAAAATTTATCAGCAAGAGAAGGAATTTCCTCGACATTATATGATTATTTGCCAGCAGTTAAAATATGGGCCAAATTTTTTCTACGTAGATTTTTGAGAGTATATCCGCCTTATTCCATTCTTTTGGTTTTAATTGCCTACAATAAACTTATTGGTGAATCATATTTTAACATTGTAACTCCTGACAACCTTATTTCTCATCTTACCTTGACTGAATCTGAATTCATTTTTTGGTCAATACCACCTGAAATGAAGGTAAATTATTAATTAATTAATTATTATTACTTTTAATATATACCAAAAATTTAAAATTTTCTAACTTTGTTTATTATTATATTATTTATATATATAGTTTTATTTATTTATTCCAGTAATCATAATAGGATACGTAGGACTTGGTCATCTAGGGAAAAAACTTATAAAAATTACTAATTATAATGAAAAAAAAGGAGAATTTATTGGCCGGTTTATTGCCCTTTCTATAATCGTATTTGCACGCACAATTATTGCGCTCACTCTTGGTGATAGAAATCCTTTATGGTTAGAAGGCACAGCTCATTATTTTTTAGCTGGATCATTAGGAGCTATATTATATAGAGAAGCTGTTAGATTAAATTTATTACCAAAAAGTGAAGAAGAAGAGAAAAAAGATGATAACAATGATGAAGAAAATGCTTACAAAATTCCAAAAAAACCTAAAAATAAAAAAGATTTATTAGTGTCATTAGTATATAATTATTTTTACCAAAAAATACCTACACTTCACACAGCACTTCGTAATATGTTTGATTTATCTTGTTACATAATGTTTATAATAATTTTATGTACAATGCCAAGGTTATCATCAAAAGTCTTGGGCTATTCATATAATCTTCAGTTGGAAATAAATGCAGGAGGGTTATTATATGCAGCCTTAATTCTACTTGGGCTATTATCACGCAATGAATCATTTGTGAAATTATTATCATGGAATTATTTTTGCTTTTGTGGTAAAATTTCATTTAGTATCTATCTTTTACATCCAATAGCTTTCAATCTGGTAAATAATTATATTAGCAATTATCTTACATTTATTGGTAATGTTGAAACACTCAAGGATGTAGATCAATCAGATGAAGTTGAAAAATACAATGATATGTTTGATTC